CATGCAAATATGCACTTGGCAGAGGATTCCACCTAAACCATCAGTCAGAAATCTAGGCAAATGCTTTACAATCCCAGAAAGAACCAGAATTATCCTTGCCCATGGAAGGCAGGGCAGCATGTGCCTGCCCTGTTGAAGGTCACTGGAGATGCAGGTGACTTCTGTCACAAACCACGTTATCCCTCAGACCAGTGCTGCCACGAAACATGGATGGATGATGGATTTCTTCCTAGGGTGCCAAAAAGCCGGGATGCAGATTTGCTTCAAACCTGCCACAGAATGAGCCTTGCTGGAGACATCTTGGGCCCCAGGCTGACACAGGGCAACACAAGGATGTTTTTCTGGGCAGGGCTAGAAATCCCCTGTCAACAGCAGTATCTAACAAGCTTTCAGCTCATTATGAATGACGATGGATGGATTAAAAGCATAGTGCAAAAATGTCAAGATGGAGAATGTTAGAGCTCAGAAGATAAAAATTAACTCTAATATTCATTGACTACAAACATGGAAAAAACCCAAACACCAGGAATGCAGGAAATAAATCATTAACAGTGCTGAAAGTTAAGGGAATAAAAGATTCAACTACTTCCACTATTTTGTGGGAAGCTCAAAAAAACCCTTTGCATTTTATCAGATCCCATGACAGTTAAACATCTTATTTCTGGCACACATCTTCATGACGTTGTGTTACAGGGAAGGTTACTGAATGTTGAAAAATCCCTTTGAATCTTCACAGTGATTTTGCAGCTTTCAGCTCCCTGAAAAAGTCCCCAGGGCTGAATTAAAGTTGGAATGGAAGGCACATCTCCCACACCCCAGCACAATTCTTTGCCCTGCTCTAACTGCTCTTGTCCTCTTAGTCTTCTTTAATAATTCATCCAGAACTGCCTCTCTGCAAAATCACTGTGAAGATTCAAAGGGAGTTTTCAGCAGCAGGCCCCAGTAAGCTCAGTCACAAACCTGCTTTTAAATGCTACTCATCAAAACAAGTAAAAAGAAATAACATTTGATACAGGAGGAGCAGAGATTACTCTGAATTAGATAGATTCTGAGCTTCCCCAGGAGAACTCTGAAGCACTTAGGAAGCAAAAATCAGGCTGCACTACTTCTAAACAGGAAGCAAGTGCCTTGTAAATGGGAATTGCTAAACCTTTCTATTTTTCTTTCTCCTCTAGCATCTGTATTACACAGGAATTTGGAGGGGGAAAAGAAAGGTGGCAATCAAGAAAGAAGTTTCAGAAAAGGTAGGAGAGGGGTAACATCAAAAAGGATCTGTGCTACCAGTCTCAGAACTTAAGTGGAGGACATTAAAATGCACTGAATTTTTTTTTTTTTTTTGTAACAAAGGAAGAATAGAGCATTAATGGCAGAATGGTTACTCATGAAGACCTCAGTTCTGTTTTATAGGATCTTTAGCTCAGTTTCTAAAGTTCTTTGGAAAACATTGTCATTACAACACATGGCTTAGTCTCCTGGAAATTGGAGCCAAGCCACTGGTGCACAAGAAAATTAGATTAATCTCAAGTCTTAACTGTACTTTAACCCCCCTCCCCTGCAGCTGGTAAAGCTCAGTGACAAGATAGGCATGTCTTAACAATGAGGCTCAAAACACTAAATTGTCCAACAGTCCCACCACCACTGAGGTATATCCAAAGCAAGAAACAGAGGCTCCTCAAAGCATGTTTGGTTTAAAAAAAAAAAAAAAAAAAAAAAAAAAAAAAAAAAAAAATTTTATAAAAAAAAAAAAAAAAAAAAAAAAGAAAAAAGGTAAGCTAATTCATTATAACAATAAAAAAATAGATATTCTGAAGGAAAGGTAAAAAAATACAGCAATTTGTATGTAAGTGTTGAATACCCTGTTAACTAAGAGCCAAATTAAACTCTATTGCTAATGGAGCTCAGCCAAATACTGTCTTATCTCTCTAATCAGAAGCTGAATGAAAAAACTAGGAAGCAAAATGAAAAAAAATTACTCAAACCCTTGCATGCCTTTAGTTCTCTTATCTACAAAGCATCAAAAGTAGATCCAAAACTTGCAAATTATTTTCCCCTTTCTGCAACAGGAAGATCAAGAGAGGCATGGAAATGTTTGTTCCCTCAGTAAAACTGCATCATGCTTTTCCTAACCCTGTTAGGATGAGGACATGACTGTGGGATGCTCAACAGTATTTCCACTTTTAGCAGGAAGCAAAGGACAGTAATGAGGGTGCCCAGCTCTGTGGAGTCTGTTCAGCAGCACAGAAGAAGCTCAGAGAAACACCTGAGGAAATCAGGTACTTGGCTAATGTGAACCCTCATTCAGCACCTAACGATGCATAAATACATAAAGTGACAGCAAAGGAAATGCCAAAAACCTGCTTGAAGGCTTTGTAACACCAGCCAGGTGGCATTGAAGACACATCAGTCTGGCTCTGTGACCTGTCATTCCATATTCACAGGCTACCTTCAGCCCCACCAGTCACAGCTATTGACAGAGGAGTGGCCTTCAAGAATTTTGGACTGATATTACCAGCTTTTAGAAAGGACATGAATGAAAAGATGGTTTAAAACAATAAGCAGGCAAAATATTCAACATGAAGATTGAATAAGCCAAAGCACTGACTCAAATTTCATTCAAGTCAAGAAGAGACTTCCTGTTATAGACCAGGATTTTGGCTGACAAAGAATTTTCCTTAGTAATTCACTTCCTTGCTATGGACTTCTTGCACCTAGGAGGTATGCTCCAGCTAGCTTGAGGAAGATTGCTACAATAAAAACCAGACAACTTGTGAACTAGGACAGAAGAATGGTCACTTTCTACCACTCATTCTGGTCGGCATGCAAATCTATGTACCTCATAAATTCATCCCCCATACATCAGTTAGCATCTTTTTCCTCTGAAAGGAAGCCCTCAGCAGTGTGCCAGAAACTAATTTGGCTCCCTTCTCACAGATATTAATTAAAACCTCATCCAAATGAGGACTGGAAGATGAGCCCTTTCCCCTTGTAATGTTTTAAAATGCAATTAAGAGTAAATGGTACAACTGAAAGGATGCCTAGACAAATAGTGATGGGTTCCAGAAGCAGAACCATTTGCCACAAGCAACATTCATTCAGAACACAAGGTAATGGTACCAGGAAAAGCCAAGAAAGAATGAGGCTTAATTAAATTTCATTAAAAGAACATAAAATCTTGACAGCACTCTGTAACAGCTCTGTCTCAAACACTGCCTGATCGAATCCCTTGGACTGTGGTACAACAGTCCCTTCCATGCCACTTGGGCTCCAGGTATTTCAACAGTACTGGAAGCCTGAGGCTGCAGAGAGCAGCTCCTGTCACCAGAAGGGCTTTAACCCAGTCACACCCCTCCTGACACTTGAGGGGGAAAAAGAGGGTGTGTAGTTCTCAATAAATTGGGAAAAATATATATTATCACAGCAACTTCACTTTCCTACTACTTAGAAAATACATATATAGGCTGGGGGGGGTGGGGGGGGAGGGGGCGATAAAGACTAGTGACAACTGCACACAAGACACAAATATTATCTGGATAGGACAAGACCAGAATTTGAAAAGACCAGAAGCTTGCATGCAAGTTAAAACTTGCTATTATTAGTCCAATTCCCCTTTCCCATTCCCTTTGATTCCTCTGTGAAAAACAGAGCTAGTGAAAGCTCAGTTTTCTTCAGAGTGAGATTCCTTCAGTAGAAGGAAAACTAATAATTTTATATGCATTCGGAGAGATTCCTGGAAGCAACCAAGGATTTAAAGGAAGCTACTTAAGTCCACCTGCCTGTTTAAGCCTGAAACAACCCTAAGCCACGTGCTGCTTGACCTGTCTATTCTCAAAATCCTGCTGCCAGCCTCCCAACAGCTCCTTACCCTCCACACTTGCAATGTGCTCTTTGGTGATTGCAAACCAGAGTTTGGTAACCATCATCTAAACCAGCAGATAAGCACTGTAAAAAAGAACAGATTGACCAGCATACGCATCTTTTTAAAAAATCTTCTATTTTCCCCCTCTGGTGCTAAGCAGGCACACAGTAAAACAAACAAAATACCAATCTGAAAATAGATTTTCTGTCTAGGTGGCTTTAAATAAGACTGAATGATGAAAAAGCCTAAACCCTTGGCTGAACAGAGAAAGACTGTTCAACATGAACACCCCTAGAGAAGGAAATACCAGAGTTAAAGGAGGAATGGACAAAGCAGATAAAGCTGTCATTTCTGGCAGAGAGGAGAGGCTAAGAAGTTTCTAAACCCCAGAGCAAAGCCCAGGATGGAAAGAATCAGAGTCAAAGCCAGGTTGTTCTGAATTTGCATGCACTCTATAAAAGGCCTGACAAAGTTACTTTAACTGAAAAAAAATCGGAAGGCTTTAATTTATTCAGGAATGAACCTTATTTCTTTTGTGCACATTCAGTAAGAGTTCAAAAGACCAAAATTCAACTTTGATACTTTAAAAAAACATTAACTCCTTAAATCACTGGGCATCCTGAGCAACATAGATAAATTGAAGAGTCTGCTGGATATGACAGAATGAACACCTTTCTGACCTGCAGAAGCAAACCAAAACAACAGCTTGAAGTAGATTTGTTTTGAACCACGTGATGTTCTATGTGTATCTAAAAAAATCCAACTGATAACACCCAAACCTTTCTGTGGCACAGCAATTGTCACTTCAAAGGATTTTTCACACTCCTGACCACATCTGGTTCCCTTCAGAGGCTGCTCTGAATACAAAACAGACACACTGTGAAAGAAAACCTACTTTACACCATAACGTTGCCCTTATTTGTTGACATCTAGATCTACTATTTATTTTCTTTTAGTTTAGCATAACTTGATGCATACAACCATAGAGACCTGATGCAGTTTATTCAGCTCTTGTACTGCAGTTTTTCCTCCATCAGCTGAGCTAACTGATTTCAGTGGATATCTAAACACTGCCCTATTTTATCTGGGCCTAGCATGACATTTTGAAAGGACCCAAGTAACTTGAACAAAGCACCACAAAGAATTCACAGATCTCACTGATGGAAATACTTTTTATTAGAAAGAGTAACAAAGTGCTTCCCATAGGATTCATTCAATACAGAGTTTTTTAAGAAGTGAGATTTTTCCTTTATATATGGACAGTTTTGATGTGATGATGTTTCAGTGCAAACAGAGTTCTCCAAGATTCTCCTGCAGAGCTCCTCTGTACACACTACTGCAACCATTTATGCATCTGGCAGTCGTGAAGCAGCACTGAAGAGTCCATCCCTTAAAAAATGGAGGTTATGTAAAGCGTTTGCAATGTCACACTGACCAACAGGAATTATATTGTTTGTTGTTAAACACAGATTTAAGGGTCATAATTCTTTCATACAGTCCTACACACAGGTGCTTTTAGTTCTATCAATAATAATAACAGCATAAATAACAATTTTTACTATATAGACAACAGTGAAATTGCCTTTTTTTTCTTTTTAAAAATTAACCTCCTGCCTTTTTAACTAGGGACATCTTTTGAACATTTGGTGCTTCCTTTGCCTTCCTACTATGTCTGGATGGAATAAAAAAACACAAGCAAGGACTGTTCACCTATTTCCCCCTCACTTTTGGCACACATTAATGATCAGTTTTCTTTGGACACATATATTCATCATTTCACCCCACTCCACTTTCCACTCTTTATGTCTGATTCTATCCCAGTTCCCCTTTTTCCTTAGCTCCTCCTGTCTTTCCTGCAAATGAGAAGGAGATAGTACAGCAATAGCACAAAACTAGGACAGACATTTCAGTATAAACTGTTATACACAAGGGAATGTATGAAACCAAACAGGAGAGGAGAATTGACCATGCAATGCATTCCTCTTTTTTCATTTTCAGCTAACCTTACACCACTAGCACTGTTTTTTCAGGTTAAAAACGCGAAACTTCTAAAAAGGACCATTAGTTACCCTTAAGAGAAACCACCTAAGGCATTCACTAAACCCAGTACCAGCCCCAAAGCTACCCTACCTTTCCCCAGAGTACATGTACACAAACATGAACATCGAACAAACAACTGAACTGAATTCACAAGTGCAACAGTCACAGTTCTGCTCATGCTGAAAGGTCACATGTATATAAACGAAGCTGTTGGTCACACCCGTGGCTCACTGTTCCCCCTTCCTTATGTACAGAGCACAATCACCACTTCAAGAAAATACCACATGCTATCTCACAGCACAGCACCTTTACACAACAGAACTACTGCAACAAGGGTATCACAGAAACACTTCTTCCTATGGGATGAAGGGAATTAAATGAGATCCTCTGTACAGTAACTGGATTGTGGGAAGAAAGAAAGGATGTTTTTAAACTTTTAACAACAGGATGCTTTTGTAATACAACCCTTATACAGGAGGAGAATACACATAACCCCATCATTCTATTTATACAAATCTGCAAAGATGTAAACAGATGTTCTCCTTATAGGGGACTTGAAACAAACCCAAAGCTTACCCCTAGGCACTTTTGAGTACAGAGCTCCTGGCTCTGAGCTCAGCCTCTACCTGCTGTCCAAGGTTTCCTTGCCACCAGCAGAACTATTTAACCAGTGCCAATCAACACAGGCTGCCATCTAGCTACACAGCTGGGCCTCAGTCCCAGTGCCCTGCAGTCCTGCTGGTCCAGCAGAGCCTCCTGAATCCACACGCAGAGTCATCTGAAGATCCAGAGAGGTGACCTGTCTCCTCAGAAGGATACTACCTGCTCATTAGAAAAGCACAGAGACACATCAAGAGATGGCATTTCAATACAAAATAATCTAGAGGAGCAGGACTTTCATGTTCACTGCCCTAAATAACAATTATTTCCCTAAAAGGAAAGTCTGTAAGAAATGGGGCCAGCAGTCCTGGAAACAGAGCCTAACAGACAAAATGATCCATGCAAAAAGATGGACTTGAGAATCCAGCTGCAGGAATGGGACTATAGGGAACCCTCCCTTAACTTTAAAAGTCTTTGAATAAGACAGCATCTTCAACTAATTTATTGTTGTAAAAACATTTAGGAAAAAAGTCACTGCAAAAGGTTAAATAATTTTCTGTAAATTTCACATCTCCTATTACATCTCTTTAAGCAAATACGTAATTTCACTCTACCACAGATGAAATCAATTCTGCAATTAAGTTTCTTTCTAAGAGTAATGTACAACAAATATTAAATTGTTAGCCCATTCAGCAGTAGTAGTAAAGTATAAGTAGTAAAGATTCTGTCCCATTTTTCTGTTTCTTTTCAGGAGAAGAAGAGAACTTGGAAATACCCAGAACACCCTGGGGTGGTTACTGGGGAGCTGAGTGAATTTTATCCTGAATCTATAGAACCTATTCCCTAGGCTGTGTGGCCCATGACATATACCTGTAGGTGGGTATTTTTGCTGCCTAGTATGGAAAGGAACCAGGTAAGACCACTAAATAAAATAACCACCTGGTTTCAACTCCATTCTTGCCTTGCATGAGGAAACAGGTCCAGTTTGCTTAGGTGCACAAAGCTTTAGCTTGTGTGGGCCCACACTGCAGCAAATGTGGGAAGCACTGAGAGATCTGGTCTGCTGACTGCTTGTTCAGCCACTTGTCACACCACCCAGAGGAAGCAGACAACATTCACATTGTCTGGAATGGCAAGTGTCCAACACTGCAGCTGGAACTACCTACAAACTCCATGAATTATCCAAATATTTATCTTAAGAAGGAGGGCTGGGGGAAAGAGCAAGTACAAAAAATAAAGAAAGAAAAATAGCAGCAGGAGCTGAGTATATTTCCAAAAAACCAAGGCAGTGCTACACCAGACCGCTTGGCCAATGCAGACTGCAATTTTTCTTGAACAACAGCTGAAGTCCTGTGTGATGTCACTAACATTAGTATAAGGACATTTCACTGGCACAGCTTGTTTCCTGGGGGAAGAGCTTACTATAAACTACACTACCCCAAGTTGCTTTTGTGTCTGGAAATTGTACTCATCTTACAAATGCGGGTTTGGTACCAAACCTCCCTTATGCAGATTTAGCTTTTCAGCAAAACACAAACAAATTATGCAAATTCAGGGAACAAACAGCACATGAGCCCTCCCAGCAGTGAAACAGAGCACTCATAGCACGTGTTCTCTTAAAACCAGACATGAAATTTTCACTATACAAAGCAAGAACATGGGGAGAGGGGAGTGGAAAATGAAAAACCACTCCTTTGGCTAAGGCCCCAAAAGCACAGAAAACAGTACATTTCACACCATTATATTACAAACATCTCCTTTCTTCCCCCTAAAAGATGTAGCAGGGCAGTGCTGATTTGGTTTAAAATGTAATTTTAGTCCTCATTGGAAGTTCAGCAATTTGAAGCATTGCAGCTTTTGATATACAACCCATTTACTTAAACACATAAATCCACTGACATAGTGACAGTGTAGAAATACATAATCCAAATAGTATCTATAAAATTTTACTGTTGTACATAAATAATGACAAGGCACAGAACAGCCACCAGTCCAAGAGCTTGTAGGCCAAGAAACCAGAGCATAACCCAGAAGAATAAAATTATCACGGGTTCTACTATCCGTTCTCCAAAGTACATCCTTGTGAAGCCTATTCTGATAAGGCTTTTGTTTAGTTCTCCAAACAGAGTCCCCATCTTCTTATAGTCATCTATCACAGGTTCCGTGGTGTGGTTCCTTTGTTCTTGGTGGACCTGCAGACAGAAGACAAAAAGAGGAAATATGTTGTACAATTTTATTACTGTGATTCTGAACAAGTCTCTCATCTGTTTCTATCTGAATGCATAAAACTAAGGTACACATGCAATAAATCTACTCCTTAAATCAAAAGATTGAAAATGCTACATAACTTGTGACCTTGGTACAATGCTACGGATGTAACTTGTTCAAACCTGGGACATTTGAAGTGGTGCTACAAATACATGACAGCCTCCCTCCCCTCCAGATGCCACTCTAGAGGTGTAAAGCTCTCCTGCAGCTCATACATCTTACCTGTCTGTGCAACGTGCCTGTGGTTGTCAGGGCAACCACCACAGAATGAGATGTTTCTCATTTCAGGGAGGAGATTTGGCTGAACTATTTCCAGAACATCTCCAGAACTACAAGAATGATATCAAACTATTAAAGATGGACTATGAAATATTGTGTACTGAAGGCCAGGTAAATGAAGGGCTGCTAATCACTACTGAAAGAAGGGCACTGCATCTGACTAGTAAAGTGACAAACATCTATCCCAATGTTGGTTTAAGAAGCCATGCAAGTCCAGCAAAGGAAGACAGACCCAAGGACTGCACAGACACAAAGTGGTGGCATAAAAACCAAAGGGAAGGAGAAACAAGTTCTGGACCTTTTGTGAAATAAAAACTGGCAGAGCAAATGCACAGGAAGGCAGAGATCCATCTTTAAATGAAGATGACACAGGTAAATATCATTGCAGAAAACAGGAATGTATCACCATATAAACTGCAACTAGATTAGAGCTTGAGATCCCATCTCTCTGCCCGGTGTCCAGAGATTCTTTGCACAAAGCCTTATTGCCATGTGTTTGGGTATGACAGGGCAAACATGCTTTCAAGATGATGAACATGAGTCTTCTAATGCTTCCATTAGGCAGCAGTGAAAACACATACAGCAGGTACTCATAAATAATTCAGCTGACTGATCAATAGGTCGTACAAATTGCCCAAAAGCTCTGTGTGCAATTAGTCTACTCCCAGATTGAAAGCAAACATGCTCCATCTTCAAGGATGAATGCTATTCTGCATCCCTTGTTCCATGGCATGGTCTTGGTAGAGAAACAGAAATTCCCTTTCACATCAGAACCAGGCTCTCCATTAGAGAGCAAATAATAAAGTGAATTACCATTCTTACAGAAAAACATACAGCAAACACCAATGGAAGCTAATATTGTTTTTCTAGGTCAGACTTTAGGCCACCATGCAGAATTTGCTGGCTGAATGCTCTGGGTAAAGCCCTACAGCTGCTGCTGAAAAGAAAACCCCAACAGTCCCTCAGCTGAAAGTACCAGGACTTTTTTTTCTTTTTAAAATTTACTTACTCATTAAGAGCCTGGTTTAAGCTTCAGTACTGAGTCCCATAAAGGGAGAGGTGAAGGAAGCCTAAATAGTAATGTGTTCATAACTAATTCATAACTAACATTCTGTTCACTCCTTCTGTGGTTCTACAGAACATCCTGATCAGGGAGAACTGCAGTACAGACACTTGCCTCTTTTCAGCCCACTTCGTAAGCCCAGGTTATTTTCTCCCCCTTACTGGATTTCCTTCAGCAAATTGGTTTTAACTGTGCTTTATTTTATTCAATTAAATTCAAAGAAACATTGACTCATTGATAATCCAAATGTTTCAAGATCAGTCTATTCTGGAAAAACAGAGCCTCTTGTGAACCCCTGTAAACTCAGTGGGGCTGGGAATACAGTGGAACTCCAATTCCTCCATTCTCAAAGAGCACAGGGAGACAAACAGACTCTTAGCTTAAGAGTATACTCACACAACAACTGGTATACTGATCACAACAACTAGAGGAAAAGTGAAGGGATGTGCTGGGAAGGGAAAATAAATTTATTTGCTTCCTGCATGCAGAGATCAGAGGGAGCACATGACAGATGATGGTGGAGAAGATCAGAGCACAGCTCACATCAAGCCGTGCAGAGATCACTTCTGAGAGAACAGCTGAGAAATCACTAAATTTTTTAGCCATGGCCAGGGCAACCAGGAAGGGGAAAAACATGCACATAACTTCTTTACCCCAGGCTTCTCAGTGGTACTCAGCAAGGTCCTGGAAGCCTTCACACAGAGCAAGTGAGGCTGCCAGGAGGCTGCCGGCGGGCACAGGTCTGCAGGTCCTCTGCAGCTCCCACTGGGCCAAGCAGGATTAACCACACCTTCTGCCAACAGTGCCTTTCCTGGTACGAGGCAGAGGACATACAACTGCACTGGCTGCCCTGCTTGCTTTGATAAGCTAACAGCAAGAAGTTGCACACCCTCTCTTAAGCAAAGTTGACATAGTAAATTCCACCTCACTTAGGCTGTCAGGTATTTTTTATTTTTTCACTACCCCTCCCTCACCTTCTCAAACAAGGATAGATTCATGGATTCCAAAGGAATTACACACAGGGAGCTGCCAGGCACAGAGATTGACAAGTGTATGTTTAACTATAAAACAAGTGTCAAGTTATTTTTCCAAATATTTTTCAATAGCTTACAAAACCATTCAAAATGATCAAGGAAATTCTCAATACTCCAAAGTCTGTTTCAGTTAATTCAGGATAAGCATATCTAGCTTCAGGCAACTCAGCAATAAGCAAGTGAAGCTGAGAACAGATGATCAGTCATGAAACACTGATGGCATATTTTTGTTTACTATTGCATAATATTTCACATGCTGGACAAATGCATTTCCTTCAGAGGTGTAGCTAAAACAGAATTAGGGCAAATGCTAGTAAAGTTACAATACTCCAAATTGCTAAGGAGTAATAAATAAGCTTTAACACTGCAGCTAGAATTTCTTGTTTCTCTCATTAACCTTCAGGGCAACAGTAAAATGGCATGCAGCCGCATATATGTACCATAGCTCTCAAATCATAACCTCAGAACCAATTTTTTTTTTCTTTTGGCCAAAAAATACTTTCCTAAACAATTTTAGAATTTGGCCATCTTCAGTGAACACACAGTTCCCAGCTGACTCTTTAATTTTTACTGAACTATTTTCATAGGGCTATTTTCATACTAATCTTGCTGAATCAGCCTGAAGCTAGACAGACACTACCATAACAGACAAAATGTGGACAGAGAAATGCACCCATTCTGATCAGCTGCACCCCCTTGCCTCTACAAAACCAGAGCTTCCTCATGTAAAAGCAGAAGTTTCTGTTTCAAAGTTGCTATTTTAAAATTCAACAGCCCAGCCTAGGCTTCATGACTTTTAAGAATCGATTGTGTATCAGGAGGGAGCAGAGGGAATTTCTTGATCTGCCCTAGCCCCAGAGAAATCATGCTTTCCAGGCTTTTCCCCGCTGCTCTTCTCATAATTAACAGGTGCCATGCAGGGGGAACTCCCAGACTTCATCTGCTACAGCTCAGGAGGGAATGTAAGAGAGGACCACCTCATCTTCACTCATTTGTTTGCCTTTCCTCACTCTTTAAAACACAGGACTTATGAAGAAATTCAGAGGGACTGGGGAACAGCAGTGCAGCCAGAGATCTAGATGGATACAGATTAATATATGCCCAAAATAACTCCTGAAAAGAACAGCAGCATTGCCTCCCAGACAAGAATTCTCTTCCCCCCTTCCTCCAACTGGCTGAAAGGCACTCACCAAATATACACATATGGTATTATTCCTGAAGGAGAAATGAGAACAAGGCTTTCCTAAGCGAAGTCTAAACCAGAATGTATTGAAATGCTGATTGCATTTGTTTCCTAACCTAATGTTTCTTATCAAATTACTGTAATGAATTACTTCTTATTGTAATTTAAATTAGTTTTAGATCAATATAATTTTATTTTAGACTTACTGGGATGACTTAGTCTGAATTCTGAATCTATACTGTCAGCTTGAAACTATTGCCCCTTGTCCTATCCCCACATGCCCCTGTAAATAGTCCCTCTCCTATTCTCTCCTTTTAGGCACTGCAAGGTGCTATAATGGCTCCCTGGAGCCTTCTCTTCTCCAGGCTGAACAGCCCCAACTCTCTCAGCCTGTATGCATGTCTGAGCACCTTCATGACCCTCTACTGGACTCATTCCAGCAGGTCCATGTTCTTCCTGTGCTGGGAGCTCCAGTGCTTGCAGCACTCTATACTCAATTTTGTATTTGGTTTCTAACTTTTTATTTTAAATTATTTAAAGCGAAAACCAGAATTATCATACAGAACAGAAAGGGAAGCACCTGATCCGCTCCACTGCTCAGCATGCACAAAGCCCTTCACAAACCCATTGGTATCTGCAGGTTCCACCAACCACTCAATTTCCTCTGGTCTTTTCAGATGTTTGATACTTTAAAATTTCCCTCCCTATTTAAAATGGCAGATTTTCATCAGCAAAGCCACGGTCTGCTGTCTCCCACTGTTTACTGGCAGAAAGTCAGAACTTGAAGATCCAAACTCTAAAAACCTTTTATACTGAAACCTGGAACTAAATTTTCCCCTCTGTTAAGGTCAAATAACTTAGGGGCTTTGATGTTTCAAGGAGAACCATGACAGGCCCTCACAGATGTGATGCAGGACACCATAAAATCACCTTTTTTCAGAATGAAACCCTACAAGGAGGTCACAGAGGAGCTACTAAGTGCCAAGTTCTGTCTGCTTCCAGAACAGCTGATGCTCCTACATCCCTGAAGTGCTTCTGGAAGAAAATCCTACATGTAACTGAATCTTTTCCTTGACTAGCTTTAAAAGAACAAAGAAGGTAAAGTCCTACTCATCCTGCTGAACCCAACTAACGTCTGACTGTGGCTTTTCCAGTTGTGCTTGTCATCAACACAACACACAAAATTCCCTGTGCTCCGACCACTAACTACCCCTGCTTATGGCAAACTTCCACACATTCACTGAAACTCACTGCTTCCCAAACTCGGGAAAACACATGGTATGTCACGAGTACAGGCTGCTCCACACCAGCCTGACAGGACAACCTTTTTCTTGCTTACTCCTTTCCTATCAAAGGGTGCTTTGACCAGGCAGTGAAACATGAGATCCCATCAGAACATCCATCCCCCGGAAAGAAGCCATCTTTGCAGTGAGTCACATGCTATTCCCTGGGAGAGAAGGATAAAGTTAGCACTGAACTTTTCTCAATGGCCCAAGACTGATCCCTGTCTGTATCTCCAATGTGTAATATAGCCAGTTTATGGTCTTTTCCCCTCAAATTGCTGAAAGCACACCACTCCTCCTCCTGACCATTTGCAGATCACACCAAGAAAGTCTACCAAGCCCTTGGAGAATGCAGAACACAAATGGATCCAAGAGGGACACAAAACAACCCTACACACTTGGGAAGTTATTTTCATGTGTGTAATCAAAAAGAGCATGGGAGCACATGAACAGCTCTAAAGTAACCACAAGTTTCAGTTCTGTAACCTCACTCCTCCTGTGGCTGTGTGGAGAACAGGTATAGTTAAGGTTTTCCAGGCATTAGATCTGCTGAAGCAGCAGCCTGAGCCACAGTTTTCCACACTTAGCCTAAGAATCTTGAGGTGGCGTGTTTAGTTTGGGATTTTTGAGTGTGTGTGGAAAAAAAAAAAACAAGTAACTGACTTGAGTGAAATAATTGGATAAAGTTCAAGAGCCTTTGTTTTGTGGGAGGAGAGAATAGATGAACACAAGGAACCTGCTCCTCATGAAGATCCAGGATGTTAAAAAAAAATCCCTTGAACCACTCTGAAGGTGCAAGACTCATTAAAGCAAACCAAGTAGCATTCTTCTATTTGGTCATGACT